CACCGTGAGCTGGCTCAGTGACCTAGTCACATGACACAAAATATATGAGGTATAATTTAGCGCATGAGCACGCAAGTTCTTCTGAACCCAACCTCGTACCCAGAGCCCGCGTAACTTTTGGTCTGCGAACAAGAACTTGGGAGCCACTGTTTTTCGTCGAGCTTGCGCAGTAAGAGGGAGATGGGCGCTGCATGGGTACGAGATTGTTCTGGAGCTTTCTATCGCGACCAAGAGTTTAACGGAGCAGGCGAGTCWGGGACTGGACTAAAAGATAACGTAACCCTTCGCCCATACAGACTATTACATGGCGCAAACGCAACCCAGATCACAAACAAAGAACATTGCTCATCAATCTTTTATTGATTTGACTAACAAACAAAGCTACGTCAATCATACAAAATATAGTGCTGAGAATACTTTAATTTATTTTTACAAGAACCTTCCTTAATATTTTAGCCTATGGGGTTCTTAATTGTTCGGTTTTTATTCGTGGAGTTTTACTCCATTACGTCAAATGGCATGTCATATGCTCACCCGCTCGATGCCAATCCGTAACTTCTATTTCAACACCTAAAGTATATGTAACAAGACTACCAAACTCAGCATTACAAAAACAGATCCTGTTTCGCAGTAATAAAAGACCTTACAGTCGTGATATATGGGAATGAAATGAGAGCCTTACTGGACTATCCAATGAACAAATCCAAAGGCAGATGCAGGACAAAGAACAGTTCACGCCGATGTTGAAGCGAATCCTCGGCACCCAACCCACTGTAGCAGTGGATGGGGAAATATGATGATGATACTCATGTCACTGAAGTCAAGTGGAACTTCCTCATTAAACACCATACACAGAGTATCTTCTATACTTTCAGTACGCTACTTCTCTGGTAGGCAACTTAAGCGATAGCGGGTTTTTTCGATTTGTTGCTTAATTTAACGATACAGTTACCATGACTACAAGTGATTCTACTAAACTATGGCACGCCTAGACTACCATACACCTACCATACACCTACCATGCACCTACCATACACCTACCATACACCTACAATACACCTACCATACATCTAGACCTTCAGTCGTATCGCAAACTCAAGCAAGTGATGTTTAAGGGGTTGGAGTACATTTTCTAGTGGCTAAGCGACCGTCTACAGTGCTACAATACCATACTATTTCACACATGACGAACACGACCAACCAGCAATGGCGATCTGGAATTCACTGATTGAGCTCTGGCCTCATCACTCAGTTGCCTAGATACGTCATAATGACTGATACGATGACGGTGATTGGGTAACAGGAGGGCAATGCCAATTCCAAGGAACACGTGACCAACGCTATGGACATACTTGTACTGGTCAGTGGTCTCGAAAAGAGCGAATATGAGGAAACACAGWGTGACCAGGATGGATGCTGGAAGAATAAATAACGCCCACCTAGAAAAGAGGCAGGCATAAAATCGTGAGGACTGATACTTTGTACTTCGTTCAAAGTCTGAACAATAGACTTAATCGGCTAACGCTTTGCCTTGTACATTACCACCCAATACGCCTTTTTCCCGTTCAAAGCGAGNTCTTATACATGATATTTTGCCATTGCTGTATTTGTAAAGGTGTTAGTTTATTTTTAATGGTCTAGTAGAAGGGATTTTAGTTGTTTCATTGATAAATTACTGGCGGGAAGGGGCAAAGAAAGCAGCCGTGACTAGGAAAGCCAAATCAGGAGCCAGTACATCAAGCACAGATACGCAAAAACAGAGGAAGAAGAATAAAGCTAAAAGTAATTATATAACAATTATTCGCCAAAGGCGGAGTGAAAATCAGCGGATGTATATATTTATCGAGACGTGAGTCCGCGCGCGTCGAGGTAAATATGATATTCGACGCGGTGAGCCTCATGTATGATTAAATTGTTTTATCCACTTAAATACAATTTCAGGCAATGAAACCCAGTAAAAAAAAAATACATTTTTTTTCTTAGAAGAAGACAAGCATAAAGCCAAAGAAAAGTGGTGTTGGTGTCGGAGGGAGGAATTTGGTGACATGGTGATGTGCGAGGGGAAGAGCTGTGGAATTAAGTGGTTTCACTTTGAGTGTGTTGGGCTTCTCCACAGTCCTGCATTTTCGTGGTATTGTCCAGACTGTAATGGTAAGTATTAACGAACTTGTTTCAAATACCCCAGTCCAAAGATATCCTTAAAAAGTACACGAAATCATGCTATTATAATATTTGTTTGGTTGATTCTATTTGTAGATTATCCTGATCAATTTTGTCTCTGTAATCAAGCTGAGTTTGTACTGATGGTGTGTTGTGACAACAGAGAGTGTGATACAATGTGGTATCACATCTCCTGTGTGGGCCTCAAAGGGGCCCCTTCAGGAGTATGGTTATGTCCTAAATGCAAATAAAAAAACAAAAACTGTTTTTTGTCTATTTTTTCTTGCATTAAAAATAATAATGATGTTGCTGCAATAATGATGATTTACGAGGGAACTGAGAGAGTTACGCGCGGTGTCACAGTAGCGGGGGTTTTAACAGTAAATGTGCCCCCGACTACCAGGKGAAATGTCTTATTTTAACACCACTCAAACGTTAAAATCCCCGCTATTCCCCGGGGTTCGGGGGGCGGGGGTGTCAATTGACTAGTGCATTATTAAAATCCAGAAGGGTTTGTCGTACGACTTCCATATATGGTTGTGCATGTACAGCGCTGATGTGCACATAGAAGGCGCTGATGTGCTCGTAGAAGTCTCTGATGTCCCAATTATGTAGAAGAACTTACTGGGTGATTTGAGAAAATGCGACTAGCCAATCAGCACAAAGCTGACAAGCTTATGTTGTAAACATAACCCCCCGACGGGAGGAATTTGCACAGCAAAACTCGACCCAGTGGAATAGGCTGCCTGTCATTTTATTCCGAAAAATCGAAGCTAAAACGCAAAGAGAAATGGAAAATCAATATAATAGCTTTTAAATGTCAATCAAATATTTATCGTTATAGAAATAGAATTTTATCTTAAAAATGAAATAACAAATAATTTTTTCTTTCATACCACGAGACTCCCCTCCCTGATAAAAATAATTGTTCTGTGTTCTGTGCGGGTTCTCCATTGCATGCGAATCAATGACCGACTTCACGAAGACTTCAGAAGGTCGTTGAAGCGACGTTCAATTCCAAAGTATCTTAGGAGGAGCTGTTGCAAATTCTTTTTCTTAGCTCTTGTTTCCTCTAAGCTTTGAGGTATCTACAACATCACTGGAAGAGGTAAAGCAGCTTATGTCCACGTATTCCAATAGAGTTAAAACGTTTGTTATTTTTGGTACACTGACAACTGTCGTAGTT